AATGTTTTGAGTTAGATTCTCAAATATTATGATTTGTAAGTGATGTAATAATTTTTTTTTCCACATCTGCTTAATGTATTTGAATGTTTTAGAGTACTGGAAATATGATATATGTGCTGTATACAGAAGAGAATACTGCCATGTCTAGCAGTGAAAAAGGGATACTCTCAACCACAAGTTGAGAAAACTTACCAGTTCCTATATATCCAACTAGAGTTATATATTACCACAACTCCTGCCTCCTACACAATTGTTTTAAAATCTGTCAACTGTGGCCTTCAAGACAGAATTCCCAAAGTATGGAACACAATGTAATTTGTGTTACACTTCAGTATTTTATATAAGTTGTCATTTTGCAAGAAACACATACATCAAAAGGCATCTGTAGGCATCAGTGTGGAAACGTAAGCATAGTGGAAAATCATGGTAGAATTCCACCAGGAAGCCTATCAACACCCATCTATTAAACACATTCAAACATGCTCTGGCAAACCTGCAGACACCCTGGAAAATAATAGCCAGTAACAGCCCTGAACTCTCCCCATGCTGTCATGCTTGGAAGCCACAGGCTGTTCCTCAGCCCTGCATATGAGGGAAGGGGCTTCCAGAGGAGGGAAGTTGAGGGAAGAGGATTCCACAGAAAGGACAGTTCCTATTTCCTTGTTTATTTTAGCAGATGTGACAGGTCTGATTAATAATTTGTGCCTTTTTCATGAAAAATGTTGTGAAAATTCTGACTTCTGCATCAGTTTGGGGCTGAAATGGTTGGGGTTATGTCCTGTAATGTTTTATGATATACATGGGATTATATGATGTGAGAAATAAGTTGAATGTTCCAGTCCAAAAAAAAAAAAAAAAAAGCATCTCTCCTTGCTAACTGTAGTAAGGGCTTTAAATGGTACCATTAGAGAAAATTGGGGCTGTTCAGCCTGGAGAAGAGAAGCTGCATGGAGACCTCAGAGCAGCCTTCCAGTATCTGAAGGGGACCTACCAGTATCCGAAGGATGCCAGAGAGGGACTCTGCATCAGGGACTGCAGTGACAGGACAAGGGGTGATGGGTTTAAACAGGGGAAGTTCAGATTAAATGTAAGGAAGAAGCTCTTCACTGTGAGGGGGAGTGAGTTACTGGAACAGACTGCCCAGAGAAGTGGTAAATGCTTCATCCCTGGCAGTGTTCAAGGCCAGGTTAGACAGAGCCTTGGGCAACATGGTCTGGTGTGAGGCTTCCCTGCCCATGGCAGGGGGTTGGAACTGAATGATCTGAAAGTTCTTTACAACCCAAAGCATTCTATGATTATGTGCTTTTACTAAGGACAGAAGAATTATCTTTCCTTTCCCACCTGTATTGCTTTAAGCCCAGCCAGTAACTTAGAACCATGGAGCCACTCGCTCACTCCTCCCTTCCCCCCACGTTGCTGCCGGAGGGATGGGGAGGAGAATCAAAAGAATGTAACTCCCACGGGTTGAGATAAGAACAGTCCAGTAACTAAGGCATAACACAAATCACTACTGCTACCACCAATAATAATAATAATAAGGGAAATAACAAGGGAAGGGAATATAAAATTAAAGGGGGAAAAGGAAAAGAAAATAAACACAAGTGATGCACAATACAATTGCTCACCACCCGAACAATGATACCTGGCCTGGCCAGCAATCTAGGCCTTCCAGGTATATCCCCCCAATTTATATGACGGGCATGATGTGCTGTGGTACGGAATACCACTTTGGCTAGTTTGGGTAAGGTGTCCCAGCTTTGTTTCCTCCTGGTTTCCCATGCACCCCCTTGCTGTTGGAGTCTGAGACTGAGAAAGTCCTCGATTGAAGTAAACATTACTTAGCAACAACTGAAAACATTGATGTGTTATCAGCACTGTTCTCAGACTAAAGTTGAAGAAACAGCACTCTACCAGCTATTAAGAAGGAGAAAAACTCTGCCTGAGGACTGGAGGAAAGCAAATGTCACTCCAGTCTTCAAAAAGGGCAAGAAGGAGGACCCGGCTAACTATAGACCGGTCAGCCTCACCTCCATCCCTGGGAAAGTGATGGAACACCTTAACCTTGGTGCCATCTTAAGGCATATCAAGGATAAGAGGGTTATGAGGGGCAGTCAACATGGCTTCACCAAGGGGAAATCATGCTTGACCAATCTCTTAGCCTTTTATGAGGAAATAACACGGTGGATGGATGATGGCAGAGCGGTGGATGTGGTCTACCTTGACTTCAGCAAAGCATTTGACACAGTCTCCCACAGCATCCTCACAGCTAAATTGAGGAAGTGTGGTCTGGATGATCAGGTAGTGAGGTGGACTGTGAACTGGCTGAAGGAGAGAAGCCAGAGAGTTGTAGTCTATGGGGCAGAGTCTAGTTGGAGGCCTGTAACTAGTGGAGTGCCTCAAGGGTCAGTACTGGGACCAGTATTAGTTAATATATTCATCAATGATTTTGATGAGGGAATTGAGTGTACTATCAGCAAGTTTGCTGATGACACTAAGCTGGGAGGAGTGGCTGACACGCCAGAAGGCTGTGCTGCCATCCAGCGAGACCTGGACAGGCTGGAGTGTTGGGCAGGGAATAACTTGATGAAATATAACAAGGGAAAGTGTAGAGTCCTGCATCTGGGCAGGAACAACCCCAGGTTCCAGTATAGGTTGGGGAACGACCTGTTCCCCACAGAGCAGTGTAGGGGAGAGGGACCTGGGGGTCCTAGTGGACGACAGGATGACCATGAGCCAACACTGTGCCCTTGTGGCCAAGAAGGCCAATGGCATCCGGGGGTGTATTAGAAGGGGGGTGGTTAGTAGGTCGAGAGAGGTCCTCCTTCCCCTCTACTCTGCCCTGGTGAGACCCCATCTGGAATATTGTGTCCAGTTCTGGGCCCCTCAGTTCAAGAAAGACAGGGACCTGCTGGAGAGAGTCCAGCGCAGGGCAACTAAGATGATTAAGGGAGTGGAGCATCTCCCTTATGAGGAAAGACTGAGGGAGCTGGGTCTCTATAGTTTGGAGAAGAGGAGACTGAGGGGTGACCTTATTAGTGTATATAAATATATAAAGGGGGAGTGTCACGAGGATGGAGCCAGGCTCTACTCAGTGGCAAACAATGATAGGACAAGGGGTGATGGGTACAAACTGGAACACAAGAGGTTCCACTTAAACTTGAGAAGAAACTTCTTCTCAGTGAGGGTGACAGAACACTGGAACATGCTGCCCAGGGAGGTTGTGGAGTCTCCTTCCCTGGAGACATTCAAAACTTGCCTGGACACATTCCTGTGTAACATTATCTAGGTGTTCCTGCTCCGGCAGGGGGATTGGACTAGATGATCTTTTGAGGTCCCTTCCAATCTCTAGCATACTGTGTTACTGTGTGCTACAGCTGGACCCAGGGCACCGCCTTAAATGCTCATTCTTCTCCCACCACTTCTCCTGCTGTTCTTCAGGAAATATTTTCAGTGGTTACATGTGCAATCTGCCTGCATGCAGAAGACCATAAATCCTTATTTCCAACTATTTCCCCGAGCTTCTGAACATCTCAGAGACCATGGTATCAGTATTCCACAAACCTCAGTGGACCAGATACCGTGCACTGCAGAGAATGTTTGCTCTGGGTCATAACGAGAAGCAGGAGTGGGGAAGATTTTGCTTAGTGGCAGCTCCAGTACATAGGTGCAGGTGCACTACCCAGACAGTGTTTAAACAAGGCATTTCTGGCACAGCCGGGACTCCATCTTGGCTCAGCACACAGCAGCTTCCACATCCAAACCTTGTTACTAGATCAGCCTGGAATAGCCTTCTAAATCCATAGCCTTCAGGCATTACTCAAGAAAGGGGGCCAGCTGGAGGGAAGACAGCCTATAGCAGAGGAAAAACATACCCTCCCAAAACGTCCTATCAGTGAAAGGTATTAAGCTGCTTTCCTAGCTTGTGGTAATTTTTGGAGATGTAATAAAAATAGCCTGTGGGACCCATAGAGTACTTGCAGTTAAGTTGTCATCACCTGCAGATGTATGGTCTTTACTGCTGTGGTGAATTACATTATTCCCTTAAATTGGGCTCATACTTTAGCCCCTGGAAAGGCACCAGAAGAATTTAGTGGGGCTGAGATTTCGATTGCACTGAACAAGACCCTCTGGGCTCACTTGGAGGAGCACGGGAACTCCCTGCCACTCAGTCACTGAGCCTGGTATAAAAGGGAGAATGAAAAGCTCCGGGAGTTACGCTGAACAGCTGCAGCAACCTGATGGGGAGCACTGGGAAGCCCCCAGGAGAGAGCTGGGTCACCCTCTGTCCCTGTGCCACTGTTACACCACAGGCTGGCATTGGGGTTGTCACCATGAGAGAACCTCGTTTCCATTAAAAACACAAAACATTGTGAAAAGGCTTCCCAGAGGAATGGCCAACTTTCTGAGCTCTCTGTGAGTGAGAAGGGAAAAGGAGGCAGAGGGAGTTAAGGAAAGCCAGAGACCAAGAAAATCAGGAAAAGATTAAAAACAAAACTAAAGATTAGGAAAACAAAGTCATACGGTTATTTCATGGAGGAAGAGAAGGGATATATATGTTGAGGAAGGGATATATATGTTGATGACAAGGGGAAAAAAAAAAAGACAAAAGAACCTGATGAAGTTTTTAACGTTCTCAGTACTTTACTTTTGCTTTACTTTTACTTTTCCTCTGTTGACATGAATCAAGCTGCCCTGTCTTAAGTAGATGAGGATGAAACACATCCCTCAGGCTTCCTCCTGAAGGCTTACTGACTCCCCAGCTAGACTTCCCTCTGCTCTCCATAAGCATGTGTGCCCTCAGGATATTTTGATATTAAAATCACTATTGTGCATCATCTAAAGATTTTTACAAACATGAATATGGACTTTGCAGTGCAAGCTAACAAAAAGATTGTGTATGTCCCCCCTCCCTTTCTTTTTTTTAGCAACCAAGAGAAGCACAGAGCAAGATATTATTATCCAGGCAGATCTCTGCTAGAGGCCAGGAGTTTGCTTTCGTTACCTTCTTAATACCCCTCAAGAGATGTAGATTTAAACCTTCTAAGTGCTGAGATACAGTGGCATGAAGAAATGATACAGCATCATGCAGGCATCACAATAATCTGAAAATAAGGGAAAACATGGTGATACTGAACATGAACTTTTAACTGGAAATACTTTTCTTGTACACCATCAAATTACTTGCAGACCTCTGCTGCAGCAGCATGGGGGATAGGCACATTCAGTTCAGGGTACTGAGGAATTTTTCAACCAAATGTTTATTTCAAGACCCTTATTGCTCAGACCTCACCAAGGGTGTGGGAAACACAGTTGTACAACCATCCTTCATTGGACCTTTAATTATTGCCATAGCTCAGAAAGTAGAGCTTGAAAATTGCAGCCACAAAAGCCAGTAAGTACTGAGTTATCCTGAGCTCACTAGGGGTTGTTGTCTTCCCCTGCTCCTTTGCCCCCCTCCCCAAACATTTTTAAGATGCTACGACTTTTCCAAACAATAGTTTTGGAAGTTTTAGGGAAAGTTTTCCTAAGGAGTTAAACCAGATCCCTCCTTCAGTATTAATTCTCCTTCCTGCAAGTTAATAATCATCAAGAAACAACCCTTGGCCAGGTGCAGGTACGGGCTGTTGATTACAGGGGCTGTGGCTTCACCCTGCTCAGCATTAGAGAGAAAACCTGTTTATGGCAAGATGTGGTGGTTCTCCAGTTAAACTTTGCCCCAAACACACAGTTCAGCAATACCCAGCACAGCTCTACAGTAATGGCACAGCAATGCCATTAGTTACCAGCGCAACAAGCAGAATTTTGCCATCATTTTCACTAGGATGTAGCTGGCAACTGAAGAAAGTCCTACTTATTCCATACAACCATCCATTAAAAAATGTGGACATACTGACTGTAGCCACAGCTATTTCCTGGTCTAACTGGAAGGAAAAAGTGGTTTCTTAGGCACCTGTGTGTGTGGCAGGAACCACAGGCTGCCGCAGGATCAGCACACAGCGCTCTGGCTGATGTTTGTGTGTCCAAACAACAAACCAAAAGTACTTGCAAAGCTATGGGACACTACAGTTTCAGTACAAAGCTTCAGTACAAACCTAGAGCTACAGGGACACTACAGCTTCAGTACAGATCTTCCTCTGATGTCCATTACTAATGAACAACACCCAGGTTGGCCACCACAATGACGGCTGAAATTCTGCTTGCTGAGTCAGAGCAGATGTGTTGAGGGTGCACAGTGGATCGCCATGATGTGTTTGGCTCTGTGCTGCCTCAACGCCTCTCCCTCCATGCTTCACACACTCATTCCTTCATGGTGCACTGTGTTTTAACTTACATTCTTCTTACCATTCTGTGTGCAGATACATTCTGTAATTAATGCCCCAATCTAGGGTCCTTATTCAGTTCCCTGACCTGGAAAAGCATGTAAACATAAGCTTTAAGTGTTTCCCTGAATACAGAAGTAGTGAAAGGAATGACTAAGTAGGCCCCTTGTTTAGGACCTCACCCATTAGCTGTTCTTGTTTCTAATATTATTAATGACAATGCAGCCATACCAGGAAGCCATTAAAGGGGCCTTTAACACTGCAGCTTGAGAGTATTCAGCACATCCTCCACACGTGAGGTGTTGCTAGGTTTGCAGCAGGTGGACTGACAGCTCTAACACAAACAACAGGATGATTCAGAAGAGCTTGATAAAAACAAGCCTGACAGCACTGGCACATATCTGTCATCATTGCAGAGATAAATTCAGTATCATTTCTGGTCCACATTAAGTGAGAACTGAGGCTGGTAGGAAACTACGTGGCTATCTGGTGAAGCAGGATGTCTAGGATTTGATCTCGTGGCCTGCAGAGCTCCCTCGGAATGCGTGAATACACAGGAAAACACTGCAAAACTGTTCCCTTTATTTTCAGGCAATTAGTAAGAGGAAAAATAGCTGTTGCATTTAGGTCCTGCTGCCGAATGCATCTGTCTGTGCATCATAACACTGTCTTCACACGTAAACAGCCATGAATAATTTATGATTCTCAGATTGCACACAGAAGCCTTAACCCAAATCACATTCCAGACAAGTGCCAGGACAAATTCTATTTTCTGAGAGGCTTTTCCTACTGTTCTGCTTTGTTCTTTCCAGTGATAGTTCAACTGAACTGACAAGGAGCACAAAATAGCCTTTTCCTTACATTACAATTTTTCCTGTCCTAAGATTTTAGCATTTTGTAGTTTCCTTTTCTCTGTTCAAAAGCATATAGTTTGCTCAAAGCTGTCAAAAGCCAATCTTTTCTCTTAGAAGACTTATCTTTCTTACAAGATTGAAGTCTGAATTAAAAAAAAACAGAGAGAAATTAAAAGTAATATTTGCTGTACTTAAATACAAGCTGGATGTGGAATCATACATCTCCAAATGAAACATTTACAAAGTTGGTGTCCTGGGTTCAGCAGTAGCAGTCATGTTTTTCCTTTGTGTTAACTGGTGCAGTGCTGTGTTTTGACTTCTAGCTTGAGAACAGTGTTGGTGAAGCCGATGTTTTCGGTTGTTGCTAAGTGATGTTTACCCTGACCAAGGACTCTGTGAGGCTCATGCTCTGCCAGGGAGGAGGGGAAGCTGTGAGGAAGCAGAGATGGGGCGCCTGACCCGGGCTAGCCGGGGAGGTACTCCATACCACAGCACGTCATGCCCGGGGTGGGGGTAACTGGGAGTTACCCGGAAGGACAGGGGCTTCCGGGTGGAACTCGCTTTTCTTGGCCAGTGGTATCGTATTCTCTTCCCTTGTTATTTTCCCTTATCATTGTTTTAGCTGATAGCAGCGGTGGTGATTTGTTGCTGGACTGTTCTTGTCTCAACCCGTAGGAGTTGCACTCTCTCGATCCTCCTCCCCGTTCCTCCGGGAGTGGGGAAGGGGAGAGCCCCGGTGGGGGGGGGGGGGAGACGGACACGGACCTCGATTGTTGTCAGCTCGGCACCACTCACTGGGAGTGAGTGAACAAGTTACCTGACTGGGTTTAAACCACGACAGTTCTTTTTGGCGCCCAACGTGGGGCACGAGGGGTTGAGATAAGAACAGATCTGACTGGATTGATAGTCACTCCTCACAATGCTGATTTATTGGCTCTCAAGGTTTTTCCTCTTGATCTCACAGTTTCAGTATATCATATCTTACGTCCATCCGGTATTTGCTGTATTAGTGTTTTTCAAGTGTGGGCCTTGGGCTAAGGTTTTTATCCCATTGTACTTTATGGTAATGACTTGTAATACAATAGAATCATTGATCATGAAACTGATCTGGCTTATGTTCCCAGTGTGGTCACCACCTTTATACTTTGGGAGGTATATGATGGAGGTGCTTAGCAATTACACATCTTTTTTCTCCTCCTCAGGTGCTCAACCTGTGAAGGAGACATCCTTTTACCCTCCTAGTCGTCCCCCCAGACCATTTACATTTGAGAGTTTTGAATTTTTTGAATGGCCTTTTAATGCTCTTGAGACTTGTTTGCTGATGGTGATGGGAATCACCATGCTAACACGCATACAGAGTGTGTTTTGCCCACTACTGATTTCAAGAGTTAAGCAGATTCAGGTTTGGGTCTTGTCTGGGGTCAAACGACGATGTAGGAGGACCGAGAGATTTTCCCTGAGGCTGGACAGCCATGAGTGGCAGGGTGTGTGGGATAGTATGGGCAAGTATCTAGGTCAGTGGGCCCCTCCAGTACTTTGGAATTTCACTACCGAACAACTGCAAAATCCAGAAGAATTAGTAAAACACTTAAATGAGGTGTGTGGTCATTCTGGCCATACCAGAGATGGACAAATCACGGCAACGTGCTGGGGCTTGGCCTATGCTTACAGGGCCTTGTTCAACACTATCCAGCACCTTCAAAAGGAAAAGAATGTCGGCGGATTTGAGGGCAAAGTGACAGTCGCTACTCAAACTTTGGCTGCAATGAACTGCGCAGCTACCCCAGTGGCAAGTACAGCAGCTGCTCAAACTTCAACTGCAACAGACAGCGCGGTTACCCCAGCTCCAAGCACAGTAGCTACACCACCCCCAGCAACAAGTACAGTCGCTACTCAAACCACAGTGATAATCACTGCAGCCAAACCAGAGGACCAATTCGTACCAATATCAGTTGCCCCTGTACGCAAGAGAACAAGCAAAAAGGAGGCAAAAAGGGTGAAGCGAGATGAAGAACCAATGAATTCACCACCCGGTCCAGAATCTGATCAGGAGTCATCATCACATGACGAAGAAGAAGAATAAGAGGTAACTTCTCGACCTCGGACCTCAACCGAGCTGCAGAATATGCGAAAAGATTTTACCCGTCAACCAGGGGAGCACATCATCACCTGGTTACTCCGATGCTGGGACAATGGGGCCGATGGTCATGAACTAGAAGGTACAGAAGCCAAGCAGCTGGGATCACTTGCTAGAGAAGGGGGAATTGACAAAGCAATTGCAAGAGAGAAAAAGTCCCTCAGCCTTTGGAGGAGGCTCTTGGCAGCTGTGAAAGAAAGGTTTCCGTACAAGGACGATGTTACGAGTCGTTCGGCCAAGTGGACTACTATAGACAAAGGCATCCAGTCTCTGAGGGAATCAGCCATCGTAGAGATGATCTATCACATCAAGCCAAATAACGGGGATACACCTATAGATCCAGATGAAGTTGAATGTACACGACCCATGTGGCGAAAAATTACATGGAATGCACCGTCATCATATGCCCATTCATTGGCAACAGTGACCTGGAATGACATAGTACCACTAACAGTGGATGAAATGGTTCATAAACTCCGAGAGTTCAAAGACAATCTCACCCCTTCCATCATCTCAGCTGTGAAAAAACTGTCCCAGGACCTCGAAAAATTGAGGGACGATGTATCTGATTTATCCAGCTCCTCACGTGTACCAACACACGTCTCAGCTATTAACAAAAGGCGTCCTATTGTTCAAGAGAGGAGATACAGAAGGTATACGCCACGGGGTACCCTATGGTTTTACCTGTGGGATCACGGAGAAGACATGACAAAGTGGGATGGAAAACCTACTTCAGCTTTGGAGGAACGGGTGAGTGAACTGAAGAGGGGAGCAAGGGCCAAGACTGATCG